GTTCAGAGTCGGGACCAGTCGACATCACCGGCAATATTACAGGTAAGAGAGAGAGAGAGAAGGAGAAGGAGAGGGAGAGGGAGAAGGAGGGGGAGGGAGAGGAGGAGAGGGAGAGGAGGGGGAGGGGAGAGGGAGAGGAGGAGGTGAGGGAGAGGAGAGGGGAGGGAGAGGAGAGAGAGGAGAGGAGAGAGAGAGGAGAGAGGAAGAGAGAGAGAGAGAGAGAGAGAGAGAGAGAGAGAAGAAGAGAGAGAGAGAAGAAATAAAAATAAATAGAGGAGACTGATGACACTAATCTTACACAAAAAAAGCCTACGTGAGAGAGAGAGAGAGAGAGAGAGAGAAAGGAGAGAAGAGAGAGAGAGAGAGAGAGAGAGAGAGAGAGAGAGAGAGAGAGAGAGAGAGAGAAAGAGAGAGGGAGAGAGAGAGAGAGAGAGAGAGAAGAGAGAGAGAGGAGAGAAGAGAGAGAGGAAGGAGAAGGAGAGAGGTGAAGAAGGAAGATAGATAGATAGAGACAGAGAGAGAGAGAGAGATATTTTCCTCTTTTAAAGTATTTTTTCCTTCATTGTGTATTCTTTTTTTCCTCGTATCTTTTCGTCACACTTTTTTCGTACTTTTCCTCGAAGGATTTCCTAATTTTTCCTCGTATTTTCTTTTCCTTCATTTCTTACTTTCCTGCAGGACTGACCTCCGGCAAGCACGACTTCCACATCCACAGCCGAAAGACCCTTCATTTCCTTTAAATATTGTCCTTCATCATATATTTTCTTCTCTTTCCTCGTATTTTCCCCATCATCGTATATTTTCCTCATTTTCCCTCATCTTTTTCCTCCATTCCTCTCCTCCTGCAGGACTGACACCAGTCAAGCACGGCTTCCACATCCACAGCCTAAACTCTTTCTTTTTTCATTTTCTTTTTATCCTTCATCATATATTTTCTTTTTCCTCGTGTTTCTCCCATCATCGTATATTTTCCACATTTTCCCTCATCCTTTTCCTGCAGGACTGACCCCAGTCAAACACGGCTTCCACATCCACAACCTAAACTCTTTCTTTTCTTCATTTTCTCTTTATTCTTTATCATATATTTTCTTTTTCCTCGTGTTTCTCCCATCATCGTATAATTTCCACATTTTCCCTCATCCTTTTCCTCCTGCAGGACTGACCCCCGGCAAGCACGGCTTCCACATCCACAACCTAAACTCTTTCTTTTCTTCATTTTCTCTTTATTCTTTATCATATATTTTCTTTTTCCTCGTGTTTCTCCCATCATCGTATAATTTCCACATTTTCCCTCATCCTTTTCCTGCAGGACTGACCCCAGTCAAACACGGCTTCCACATCCACAACCTAAACTCTTTTTTTCTTTTTCTCTTTTATTCTTTATCATATATTTTCTTTTTCCTCGTGTTTCTCCCATCATCGTATAATTTCCACATTTTCCCTCATCCTTTTCCTGCAGGACTGACCCCAGTCAAACACGGCTTCCACATCCACAACCTAAACTCTTTCTTTTCTTCATTTTCTCTTTATTCTTTATCATATATTTTCTTTTTCCTCGTGTTTCTCCCATCATCGTATATTTTCCTCATTTTCCCTCATCCTTTTCCTGCAGGACTGACCCCCGGCAAGCACGGCTTCCACATCCACGCCTTCGGGGTCTCGGGCGCCGACTGCAAGGCCGCCGCCGGCCACTACAACCCCTTCGGCAGCAACCACTCCGCGCCCGACGCCGCCCAGCGCCACGTCGGGGACCTCGGAAACATCCTCGCCGGGGAGGACTCCGTCGCCTACGTGAATGTGAGGACTTAGGGGGGGAGAGGGAGGGGAAAGGGAGAGGGGAGGGAGGGAGAGGGAGGGGGGGAAGGGTGGGAGAGGGAAAGGGAGGGGGAGGGCGGAGGGTGTGGATGGGGTTGGAGGGGGGAAGAGGGAGGGGAAAGGGAAGGGGAGGCGAGGGGTGTGGATGGGGGTTGGAGGGGGGAGGGATGGATGGATGATAATGATAATAATGATGATGATAATAATAAGAATGATAATAATGATAATAATGATAATAATGATGATAATGATAATGATGATTTTAATAGGAGTAATAAGAATAATGATTATAATAATTAATGATGATGATGTTAATAATAATAACAATAGTGATAATAATAATAATAATAGTGATAATCAATAACAATAATGATAACAATGATAACAATAATAGTTAAGGCAGTTCCTAACGAGCGACCTCGACCCGCAGATCCTGGACGACGAGGTGACCCTGTTCGGCTGGTACTCCGTGCTGGGTCGCGCCGTGGTCGTGCACGCCGGCGAGGACGACCTGGGCCTCGGGGGCGACAGCGGGTCCCTCTCCACGGGCAACGCGGGGGGGCGGGTCGCCTGCTGCACCATCTTCGCCGTCCCGGTGTAGAGAGGGGGAGGGAGTGAGGGAGGGAGGAGGGAGGGAAGGAAGAAGGGAGGGGAGGAGGGGGAAGGGGGGGAGGGAGGGAAGGGG